AAGTCGGGCTCCAGTCTGCTGTGCGCATGTGCAGTCAAGGCGTGGGCAGGTTCCCTCATCTGCTCAAAAGCATCTGATGTAAACACTTGTGGAGTGGGTGGGAGATTCTCCAGGGACCCCTTTTTATCTGCCTAGGCATTTGACTGTCTTATTAATAGTAATTAAACACCTGAAAGCACCTTTCTGGTAACCTCAAAAATTAGTGAACACATACAGATCATATTCTAAAACCAATTTGTTGATGATAAACATATCACTGTCCAGGAGAGTGGATTGTTTCTTCTTCCTTAACAACCTCCTGGTGTGTAAATCCATCAGCCAAGGAAAACTGATTTTGATATTGACTTTTTATGCAGATAAGCTGAAATGGAACTGGGTAGAAAAAAAGTTTGTGTATACTTTCAATATTTCATGTATTTATTTATTTTGGTGTGTTTGTAATGTAAGTTTTCATTTATCGATTTAATTTAATTCTAATTAGTCACTTGTATTATAACATTTTTACTTAAAAACATTCCAATTTCATTTTTATTGTTATATTGAGTTACCTTAAAATAGTGTTTATTGAGTATTTATAAAGCAATGTCAATTTGCTAAACTAGAAGTTCCCCAGAAGGAACAGCTAACTAAAATACTGAGAAGTAAATGCTACAGTTCCCCATGAAAGAATGCTACATATTGAAATGTATACTTATTACTGTGCAATGAAACTGATGTTCAAGAAAATTGTTAAATATCTTGCTCTAAATCATAGGTCTTCTGATTTTTTCTTATTTTCACCTCTAAGCTCTTTAACATAGTAGTGGGAATGTAGTTTGCCTAAAAACTGCTTTCCCACAACACTGAGCCCTTATCTCCCTTTGTCTTCCAGAGATATTGTATCAGTGCCAGGAGTGGCCTAAGGAGCCCTTGACTGCCAACATTGTGTGTAATGTGAGAACCACAGGAACTCCCTCCAGGGTCTCCTCTTTTGCATGCTACAGAGAATGAGATTTCATTAGTTTCTAGCTTTGAAGGCTTTTTAGTTTGCAGAAGTCCTTTACAAAATATAAGTACCTACAAAAATGAGGTCCCACAAAAGGTGGGCATTCAGTAAGTGTGATGTAAGGGAATAATGAGCAAAAAGCATTCAAGATAAAATTCCACCTCAGTCCTGCTGCCTTCACTTCTGCCTTCTCAAATGTTCTTTATTCATAGTACATTTGCTTAAGTTTTCAATCTTTAAAACCTCCCCTTCCTCTCTCTGCTTCCTTTCACAGCCAAGCTTCCTCTTCTTGCGTTCATTCCACAGACCTTGGCAGTCTAGATTTCATCATTCCCACACAACTCCAACTATTTTCCATAGAGTTACTACCAAAATCCCAATGCAAAGTTAAAATTCTTCTCATTCTTCATCATTCTTGACCCTTCTGGTATTCTTGATGTTGCCACATCCTGCGTTAAACTTTCTTCTCTTAAATTCTGTAAAACCACCTCTGTAAAAGCTGTTTTTACCTTTTAAAGTCTGGGTTCACAAGGTGAACTGCTAACATTATAAACTCTTTCTTAAAGGCAATGGAGGAAAAATGAGGAGGAGGTAGGCAAGAAAACTATATTTACTGTTTTCTTATATCTGATGCTTAAATATAGGAATATCTGTTTTCTTCTCAAATCTACAGCCTACCTCCAGTGATCCCAAATGCTCTATAGCTTCTGATGAGTATTTCCTGGCTCACCTCTTACAAAAACACGTTTGCATGTAGGTGTCATACAGGCACCTCAGTTTCCGTGACTGGACTTGGTGTTTACCCTACCCCACCTAAGTCTGCTTCTCTTCTATTTCCTGTCCCCTTTTATAGATCGATATGGACCAATTTCTCAAGTTGGAAATTAGCAAAACAGCCTCTATTCTTTCTTTTATTCCCCGTCTTCAATTAGTTGCTAAATGTTATGCATTGTATCTTTAAATTTCTTGTATCTATATCGATCTTTTTCTGTGGATCCTTATTACTCATGATATCAAGCTTCAGTTATTAGTAGTATTCCTGCTTCTATTTCCCTTCTGTTGGTTGTAAAATGATTATTTTCAAATGTAAATACAATTTTCTTGCTGTATTATTTTAACCTTTCTTTAGGTTAAAATAATCATTTAACCTAAAAAATGATTATTTTCAAATGTAAATACAGTTTTCTTGCCTACTTCCTCCTCATTTTTCCTCCATTGCCTTTAAGAAAGAGTTCACAATGTTAGCAGTTCACCTTGTGAACCCAGAATATCTGAGACAGGTCTCAATTGGTTTAAAAAGTTATTTCTCCAAAGTTAAGGACACACCTGTGACACAGCCTGAGGAGGTTCTGATGACATGTGCCCAAGATGGTCAGGCCACAGCTTGCTTTTATATGTTTTAGAGACACAATTCATCGACCAATACACGTAAGATTTACATTGATTCAATCTGGAGAAGGGTGTGACAATTCGAAGTGGTGGGGAGGGGCCTTTCAGGTCATAGGTAGAGTTAAAATTATTCTCATTAACAATTGATTGAAAGAGTTACTATCAGTAAAAAGGAATATCTGGGTTACATAAAGGGTTGTAGAGACAGAGGATAGATTGTAAATGTTTCTTATCAGACTTAGGGTCTGTGTTGATGTGAATGCTGGAGAGGTATAATAAGGCATGGCCAACCCTCTCTTCCATCATGGCCTCAAGTCGATTTTCAGGTTAACTCTGGAAGGACGTTGGCCAAGAGGAGGAGTCCATTCAGTTGGTTGTGGAGTTGGGGGACCTAGAAGTTCATTTTTGGTTTACAACCTTGAGTACCCACCACTCAAGGTTCCAGTGTGTGGGATTAACCACCGGAAGAAAAACATAGGGTTCTAGTGCTCATAGTGTTCATATTTTCCAAAGCCTTACAGCAGCTACCCATTGTGTACATATCTGATCATTCTTAACAGTTTTTTTGTTTGTTTGTTTTTTAAGACAGAGTTTCGCTCTTGTTGCCCAGGCTGGAGTGCAATAATGGGATCTCAGCTCACAGCAACCTCCACCTCCTGGGTTCAAGCGATTCTTCTGCCTCAGCCTCCCTAGTAGCTGGGGTTTACAGACATATGCCACCACGCCCAGCTAATTTTGTATTTTTGGTAGAGATGGAGTTTCTCCGTGTTGGTCCAGCTGCTCTCAAACTCCCAACCTCAAGTGACCCACCCACTTTGGCCTCCCAAACTGCTGAAATTACAGGTGTGAGCCACCGTGCCTGGCCCCTTATCAGATTTTACTCTACTTTAGTAATGCCCAGTGACTTGGGTTCCCAGACCATTTCAGTGCCTCCTTGGTATTTGTTTCAGAAATTCTGTCTGCCAGTAAAATACCTGTCTCTACTCTCTTACCCCGGCTCTCTCACAACCTCTGTGCCTCATGGGCCTCCTTCTTTGAAATGGATTTTCTGCTTACTTTTCTTAACAGGCTGCTGTCACATCCCCCTTTGGGCCACTTCCACCTTCAGAGCACTTCCCAGATAGCACTTATAATTGGGAAGCCATCTTCCTTAGCTTAAAGCATCATTCTGGCCTCTATACCTCACATAATGTAGGCAATAAGTAAATGTTTGTTGAATGAATGTGTAAAGGTCTATGACAAGACCTTCTTGCCAGTCAGTGTCATGTCATAGCTTGCCGATAAGGTCGGGCCTTTCTGAACTATCATGATTCCTTCCTTGAGCCAGGTGCCCTAAGATACCAAAGATGGCTGGGCGCGGTGGCTCATGCCTGTAATCCCAGCACTTTGGGAGGCCGAGAGGTGGGTGGATCACGAGGTCAAGAGATTGAGATCATCCTGGTCAACATGGTGAAACCCCGTCTCTACTAAAGAAAATACAAAAAAAAAAATTAGCTGGGCATGGTGGTGCGTGCCTGTAATCCCAGCTAATCAGGAGGCTGAGGCAGGAGAATTGCCTGAACCCAGGAGGCGGAGGTTGTGGTGAGCCAAGATTGCGCCATTGCACTCCAGCCTGGGTAACAAGAGCGAAATTCCGTCTCAAAAAAAAAAAAAAAAAAAAAAAAAAAGATACCAAAGATGAAGAAACCATGCCTTCGGAGATACTGTTAAACTGTTAGGTTATTTTCTGCTTATGTATATCATTTACCTAGTTATACATCTTTCGTTAGCTCATGCATGAGCTCTGCCCTCACATTCCCGCAGGAGAATTTGGAAAATGTTTATTAGAACAAAATCACTGTTATGTAAATGTCCCTTAAAATTAAACATATTGTGCATATTATACATGTGTGTATATATATTTGTGTGTATACACACATACATAAATATATATATTTGTATTTAGTTTTTGTGTTTATTTATGGTAGAGTATGCTTTGTTACAAGTTTAGCCAATTTTTCTCAAACTCAACCTGTTGAAAAAGTCTGTTAATTGTCAGAAGGAGATTTAATGCAACAGTGAAAATTTACTACTTCTATTAAAGAGTCAGCTCAAAACTTGTTTCCTGCTGAGGATGAGTCAGTGAAAGCTTGAAATAAAAAGGCACAGAGACTGAACTGAAGTCACAGAAGTATATTCCTGGAATTACAAATAGCATTACTAGGGTGAACCAAAACATTCATTTTATGAGTAATTCATAATATCTAATTTTGCTTTTGAAACTTATTCTTGATGTTTGTTTTATTTTATTTGTATGAATTCCCACCCAAACTCTTACAATTTATTATACAAAAAGCCCTGAACTTTTGGCACAAACTTTAAGGGGCAGTGGCACCACTTTTCTTTTCGTGTGTGATGACTGATAAATTGAGTTGAAGATTTCGAGGGCAATTACAATACTTTGATTTTACATTTGGGAAAATTAAGGCACAGTGACCTTAACAGACTTTCTTGCTATCAAAGAATTACTGGTGGACTCTTCTAGGGCTGCCCCTATAACATCGATCATATGATTCATGATATTGTTTTCTGGATAATATCACTAAATCATAAATCAAACTTACATATGCTCTCTATGTTGGTCAAGGTTCCTACCTGATCCCACTCCCAGCAGCAGAACTGGCCAGCTGTGCAGATCTGGGGACCCTCTGTCAAGGTAGGGAGCTCACACTGTGCTCTGGAATCTCTTTGCTTCCTACTTGCAATTTTGGATAATGTAGTTGTCATTGTTTTGATTTTTATCTGAATTTTCACTTGGAAAGACAGAAAACAGCAAAACAGAAGAATTTCTGCAAATGTTTTACTTGTGTGGGTGCACAGTACATACGGTGTGGGGAAAGAATGCATTCACGTGGTGGGTAACCACAATTCCACAAAGCTCTGAGTTTTAAAAATGTGAATTTATATCCTATTAAATAAGGGTTGGTTTCATTTCCCCCCATGTCTTCTCAAGAATATCCTGGACTTGCAAAAAGTCCAGTATAAATACAGTGGTACAGTACTTTACAGAAATATTCATGTCTATAAAACAAAGAGGGAAATTAATCTGAATGTTCAGTTAATTTTAAGATAGGGCCATGAGGCAATTTATGATGACAAGATAACTTAAATCTTAAGATTAAAAAGGTTATAGTAACTTAATGTAACTGTATTTATTATGATGCTTACTATATCATGGTATTTCAGTTATATTATGTACTAAGTAGCTGCATGCTAAATAATATATAATTAAGGTTATACAAGTTTTAAAATAATATAAATATTTTGCTTTATTTTATCATTGCTCTTCCTAATTACCCATGACCCTTTTCATCTATTTATTCTGTTAAATACTTCTATAATGAAGTAGCATGCTCTGCGTACCACATTAAGAATCACGGCCATGCCTTTTGTAAAAGCTGAATCTCTTATTAAGAAGCTCATAGCACAAAGGTGACAGGTATTAGAAGTGAGATTGAAGAAGTAGAAACCTAAGCTCTCTTCTATGGTTCCAGTGTGAGAGTAAGGCAGGCAGGAGATGGTGTGGGGTGTAACTCATTATTATCTATTATCTTTGTTTTCCTTTTGGAAGCATTATTTCTCTCATATTATTATTGATCAATACCCTATGAAAATTAAGTCATCAAATAGTTTTTTTTCATGATCTCAGTGTAGTTTTCAAATTGTTAAATGAAATTTAAAAATCTGTAATTCTGTTTAGTTCAAGATCTGAAGTTTAAAAAATACTGTTTTAAAAATTCTTCTCATCTGAGATATCTGACATAATGCTTTGAAAATGTCTCCCTTATAAGGCTTGCCCTATGGAATACTTTTTATCGATCAGTGTTTAGTAAACTTATTGGAATCTTTAAGTGATTAACTTAGTCTATGCATTTCATTTGTCTTTTCTTTACAGTCCTCTTAAGAAGAAGTACATTTTTTTTCTGAGATTTTGTTTCTCTAGACTCAATATATTAGGCAAACTTAGTTTAGATAACTTTCAAGCTGCAGGTTTTATATAGACTGCCTTCCGTAACTTTTTCTTTTGACTAACTCAGGAAACTGAGTTCTAAAGGACTGAGTGTTTTACTGTGTGATTGCCAGTCTGTTAATGGATGACTAGGTCTAGAATCTAGAATCTAAATGTCCTTTATCACTTTTTTCTTGCTCCAGACCCTTGTGTAATATAGCATCCAAGGCCATGTGTACTGATTCTTAATGTGCCACAGAAAGCATTGCTTCATCTTATACGTTATAACCTTGGAGTCGGTTGTATTTCAAAATGGTTTCCATTCTTCCTCTATGTATTTTAATGCATTAATTATAGATTGCTTATCCAAATTAACTGTCATGAGCTCTTTGCAAAATTACATCTTTCTCATCTTTATTACCAGCTACTGTAAACTCTCCTAGTACTACACCACGCACTGTCACCACTAACATGCCTGTTACTAACAGAATCGATAAACAAATGAATGGTAAGAAATCATTACCTTTTATATTTATAGTGTGTCTAACATTAAAAAAATTGTATTCTAAGGATAGAAATATGTATTATTCCAACAAAGTTTCTGTCATTGGAATCGGTACATTTATAGGTTTACCAGACTAGTAAAATTAATAAATATCACGTAACTCTGTTTAGTTCCTCATTTTTATGACCAGTGTAATGAGTACATTTCCAGTACTCCCCTTTTGCACTTTTAGCCAAAGTTTCTTTCAAAGGAAGCTTTAAGAGAAAGGCAGTAATTTGCATCATAATAGAGATCAGAGAAAAATGTATTTCTGTGATATTTTGTCAGATAATTTTCTTCAGGAAACAAGTTTTAAAGGATTTTATAAATTTTAGAAAACCAAGTAATTTTAATAATTTAATTTCTCACTTAAGTGTGATAATGTATTTGTGACATTTAAGACTTTTTCATGGTAATACTTTGCTTTCTGTTTTTATTTGCTGAAGACTAATAGAATGTGATTATATATCCACTAAAATCTATTTTTAAATGGCAACAAGTAAATTCACTTCAAGTATTTCTTGCTTTTCTTCTCCAAATATACTTTTCTGTTATTTATGATTTGCAAATACAGCAGTATATGTTAAGAAATAAACAGAGGAAAAAATCAGGTGAACTGAGTTATTTAACCTGTTCCTATATGGACAACACACATGGCCTTTCAGTAATTCACAGTGAGTGATTTCAGTTTCTTCTAATAAAAGAGAAATTCCAATCAGGTGACCACACCATTGCTTTTAATGCAGTAATATTCTCAAATGTGAAGCATTAGAAACAAAGGAATTTTCTGAACTCCAATCGTTTAGTTCATGAGGCCAAGACATCTGTAATATATTACCAGGGACCCAAAATCCTGAAAAAAGAAACCTACATAGTTCATTTTTTCTTGGCTTCAGAGGTTATATCAACTTCCTCTGTAGGACATTTAATTGGAAGTATGGAATATTTTACATGAAACGTAGATAGAATTTCATTAGGGTTATAAAGACATCGATTCAGGGAGTGTTTATGGTTATTCTGGTAGTTACACCGAGGAGATTTATGATGGAGCAAAAATTCCAGCAACCCCCAAGAAAGCAACAGCAGCTGAAATTTCCAGTGCATATTTCACATGGACTCTAGCCAGTAGATGGGAATATTATAATTCTAACTAAGTATTTCACTCTTTGTATGAACATACAAAGAGCCTCTGTGGTATTCTCCCTCCAGGACTGACATATCCTCTACTGCCCAAGAACATTTATACGGTGCTTCAGAGTCCTTGACTTGGTGGAGTGGAGCTGTATTCACTCAGTCATGTCATTCCTGACATTATTGAAGAAAGCCTTGTTTAGGCCATCTCTCTTTGCGTCATAACCTTCACTGGAGTTTTAACAAAGCAAGCAAATGTTAGAATCAGTTAAAATGGTCTGTCTTGACCTACGTTAATGAAAAAAATCTAATTCGGATAATTCTTAATCAAAAAATTTATCTTAGTGTTTAAAGATATTCAGGTTGTTACATGATAGAAATATTCTCAAAATTGTGTACTCAAATTTGTGTACCATCTTAATAATTTTGACCATATCTTTGAACTACCTATACTATTTCATATGATTTTTCCCCTAAATTGACTCACTTTTAAACTTAAACATTTGTATTTATTTGGGAAAATCTATTTCAGGATTGTAAAGTGAAGCCAGTCCTACTTGTTATGACACAGACATGAAAAGTGAATATAAATATAATGTAAACAATATTTTAAAATTCTCTATGTATCCTATTGCTTTCTCACATCTTAGAGCCTGAAGCCTTCATTATCTTTTTAAAAAGGAAGACTAACAAGTATTAGACAGACTGTAATTAAGATTTTTTTTGATGTAACGAAATTGGAAATAATTGAAAAGAGAATTACTTTTTTACCTTGTGAAAAATGCTATTTAATGTCATGTCATGGATTATCATCATTTATATATTAACAATTTCTTATTCTTTGGGAAACAGAGTAAACATTCTCTGGTTTACATTCTGATGTATTAGAGAATCCCATTTTATTTACTGTAAGAAAGATAGGCACAACTGTCAAATCTGTTATCCAATTTGTCCAGTCCTTTTAACTTTTGGCTATCGGAGTTTTACTGAGTTCATCAATAACAATATTGCATTGTGAGGAGAGGACGCAGTTGAGTTTATCTGATGATCAGATATATTTATCATAGTATATCAACAGACTGTGTTTGCCTGGTTTTTGTGATGTTCCTATTTTTCTGTGTAAAGTTATTTTTGTTGTTTGCAATAGGGCTTTTTTCTGATGCCTCAAATTACAGTAAGTCTTCGTTAACGTTGTTAATAGGTTCTTGGAAACAGTGAATTTGAGCAAAATTACATGTAAGGAAATTAATCTTAACATAGGCTGATTGATAAAGAGTTAAGTTTCTACAGCATATTTGTGATCACAGAAGCATCACCAAACTTCCAAATAAAGACTGAAACACTTCTAATATTAAACATTGTAGTTAATATGAGCTATACATACATTTAAGAAAGATTAGTGAAAACAAGATAATTGATTGCCCAATTTTGAATGAGCCAGTAAGTGACTGCAGTCTTAGTGGTGGTGATGGGTTAAATCAAGGAACAAGTGTTCGTTTGCAAGGTGAAAATTGTGAGCAGCACCTCCTGCCACCAGGAAGTTCCAAAACAATCATTGGTATGGGGCTTCACTGAGTGCTTTCATATCGTATCATTTATTGTCGTGCATTTATATGATTATCTTACACTTTATGAATTTTTGTTTTACCATAATTTGTATTCATTCATTCATTGACTTTCTAACCTGCTTATTTCATATAGTTTAGGCTAGCGGGTGGCTGGAACCATCGGGGCAGCTCAGGGCAGCAGGCAGGGACTAGCCCTGGCCAGGATGCCATCCCATGGCAGGGGACACTCACACATAGCCACACCCACTCACACTGGGACCATGTAGACAGGCCAATGAATCCAAGGTGCACAGCTTTGGAATGTGGGAAGACACTGGAAGATCTCGACAAACCTCATGCTGACAAGGGATGCAGACCCTACGCAGAAAGGGCACCCGACCGGTGATTGACTTTTCTCTTCATCAACTTTGTAATGAAACTCCGTTGAATGAAACAATGTTATTCGAGGACCTGCTGCATACATTAAGAAAGTCTTCAAAGCTACTTTTCATAAACAGATATTTTAGGATATGGATAATCTGGGGCTTCCCACAAATAATAACCCTTTTTACATTTTCCATTACATTCCAAGAAAAGTTCTTAGACTAATTACTTTTCCATTCCAAATCATATCTTCTTTCCTTCAAACATCACTCTAGTGCTACTGAATAGTAAGCTTTTGTGAGGTTGTCACAAGCAACTCAAGTAAGGAATTAACTCCATTAGTCTTTATTACTGTTCTAAAAATCGAGTTTACAAGTAAGTACAGTCTGTAACACTGCTTCTAGTTTCTCACATAGGTTTAGCTATTTAACAAATTCCTTCTTAGATCATTTGAATGGATCCATTACTGTAGCTTTTTATGCCTCATCAGTTCAAAGAAATAACCAGGTATCTAAATAAGCATTTGGTTTATATTTTAACATCTATTTTTTTCAAATATATATTTAAGCCTATCACTGCAAACCTGTATTTTACATCTTTGAATATAGTGTATATAGAGCAGAGTCATTTCTGTATTCTTTAAGAAACTCCAAAAAAAGTTTAAGAAGGCAAAAAATGGAAAGATTAGTTGGAGAGAGACCTGCAGAAAATAATGCTGTTTTGATACCACATTGGTAATGGAAGGCAGTGATTTCTGCTTGAAGTTCTACATGCTGAAAGAAGTATCTAAATGGAAAACAAATATATTCTTAAATCATTTTCCCTGATGAATGTCTATAATAAATTATTTTGGCCTAGATATTATTATTAGGATAGTACATACATATTTTGAACTCTCTGGAACACATGAAGATTTGTGAATAGCTTTTAAAACACCATGAGAGTTAACACTGGTAAGAGAAGACGACTTTACTGCTATGATAACATGGAAAATCCTGCATAAATGTGTCTTAATTATGCATTTCCTCCAATGGCAATGTTTAAGCCAATTATTTTGCTGCACTCCAAAACCCTTCTCACCAGCCCTTCAATGGACATATTTTTTTTTATGTTGCTTTGACAGTTCATTCTTGGACTTTTCTCATGGTTACTTGTTGACTTCACTATTCTAAAATTTTAAGTAAGATTAACAAGTGGACTAGGGCAGGAAATACAAAGTTTAAAGAAAGCATCTTAAATATTTGGATTCTTCTATAAAAATTCAGAAATGTCAATGACTACAGATAATAATTTGTAGAATTTTGCAGTATTTTCCTCAACAAAACACTACTTTTGTAACAAAAGCATGCTTTAGGTCTCCATCTAGTGGTGGCTTTTCAGATACTCTACTAGCATTGATAATATAGATGCTCTTCCACTTAATGAGGGGGTTTGCGTTCCTATTAACCCAACTGTAAGTTGAAAATACTGGAAAATATCAAACGTCAGAAATGCATTTAATACACCCAACTTGCTGAATATCATATCTTGCTGAACCAACCTTAAACATGTTCAGAGCACTTAACTTACTAGCCTACTGCTGGGCAAAATCATCTAACACAGAGACTATTTTATAATGTTGAATAGCTCATGTACTTTATTGAATGTTGAACTTAAAGTGTGAAATGAAATGGTCATATGAGTACTCAAAGTAAAAGTTTCTACTGAATGCCTGTTTTTTTTCCCCACCATCATAAAGTTAGATCATCTTCAACTATAAGTAGGGAACCTTCTGTATAGTCAGAAAATATTACCAGGTTCTTGAAATAACTCTTTGACCTTCACAATTTTAATTTCCTCCCAATCATTCAGAACATTTGAGATTTTACATGATGAGAGCTACAGTGTAAAAGTTATCTTTATATGAATTATTGTTTTATATGTTCCTCCAAGTATTTTTCATTCAGAACATTTTTTAAAGGAATATAAAAATCAAGATTATTAAAATACCTGGAAAGTTTTAGAAGTGGAAATACATAATCTGCATAAATTAAACTCACCTGTGCTTGGACTTGTGCCAGTTTTATATATTTATATTAATACATCTGGGGGAAGCAATTTCTATTATTTAGCATGAGACTCTGACTCTGTCTGGAAAGACATTCCTTTGGTAGTGGAACTGGAATTTGCATTTTGGTAGATTTGGAAATTCCCAGAGAAAAATGTTTGTATTTCTTTCTACTGCCTCCCCACAATTTTTACTATTTTCTTCAACATTGCTATAATTATGTATTTCTATATTTCATGTGCATATTTTATTTAAGACTTACCTATACCTGTATATAAGTATGAAGAAAGATGATTGACAATAATGGAGATTCAAAATTTTTTCTTTTCTCTGTAACCTACCATAATTTAAAAGGGTATTTTTCTTGTGAACTACTTTGACGAAAGTGCTCTCTAGCACCCATCTAGAGCTATTTAGCAAACCCTTGCTGGTGAGTTTGATTTTTATTAAAACAAACAAAAAAATCAGTTTACTTTAAAGATTTCCCCCACCCTAAAAGTAGAACCTTCTTTACAATAAGGTTTTCTTTTTAAAGTGAAATAGTCCAATTAAAATTCTACCTGCAAATATTGCTTCTTTTTTTCCCCTCTACTTTGGTATAAATGAACATATTTAAAAATGTTTGATGAAAAGTCTGGTGAAATGCAACCTAATATTTTAGTAGAAGTAAATGTTTTATTAGGCAAGGGGAAGAGAGGAAAAGGAGAAGAATTAGGGCAGTAAGTCTGTGTATGCCTATTCTACTTTTTCAAGTTAATTTCTCCACATGATCTCATTCAAGTTTTCACATCCAAAACTTTTTATCATTCTTTATAATGCACAAAAGCATATTTCCTTGTTATAAGAAGTGAGATTGTTATAAGAAGTGAGATGAAAACAGTTAACACATTGCAGATAGTAGCTATCAGAAATCTATAGAATTACAAAATATGAAGAAATATATGCAAGTAATAAGAGTAAGCTAATTGATAACTATTTTGAAGAAGTTCCAAGGACAGTAAGCTTAACATCAAAATATTTCAGAAATTTTTTGCCTATGTAGAAGTTATTTCTTTTACCTTATATTGTAAATTATGTGATTAGGAATAAAACTACTTGATTATATAAAACTTACATGATCATAACTTTAAATTTTTGGTAATTATATGACTATAAAATAGAATTAATGGATTAATCCTATTTCCAATGGGCAGATGGAATTCTCTATAGAATATCCGTAGTGATTCAAAACATCCTTCGTCACCCTGAGGTAAAAATACAGAGCAAGGTGGCAGAATGGGTAAGTGAACTTACAACCTTTCTTTTTTTAAAAAAAGAAAAACATCTTTAACTTCTGGGAATCTGGAAAAGACTAGTTAACCGAATCCACAGATCATACTGAAACACAGATCGTATTCATTAGAAATAAATGAGTAGATATGTAAGTGAGGTATTGTGCTTAAGCATAAGAAGAAAAGTACATTTGAAAAGGATGAGACACTGAGCCTAATAGGTTATCAGTGTCTTAAATAAGAAAAGTGTCACTCAAATGGAAATAGATTTTGGTGGCAACAGGTATCTTTATTTCCTGTTAGATCCATACATTATCTGCTATATTTTTAAATAGATTCTTTTAAAAATTTGTTTGAATGTTTGATCAAAACCAAAAAGCACAAAAAGACACATTATGAAAGTCTTCCACCCATCCTTGCTGCTCATCTGTGTGGTACCAACCTAATAACCAACAGCAAATAGGAAATCACTGTTAGTTTTTCTTGGCTTTTTTTTCCAGATTTTTTTGTGCACATGAAAGAAAATTAAACTATAGATTCTTACTGTCTTTGTTTTTTACAATAAAAGCAGTATACTTTACATACCATTCTATACCATACTTATTTTTATTGTTGCCAGATTTGCAACATTAGAGAACTTCATCTTTTTTTGTTGTTTTGAAGAAACAATGTATAGTATTTCTTATGTGGCTGTTCAGTCATCTATTTAGCAGATCTTCTGTTGATGGACAGTTAGGTTGTAATTTAACCAGTATCCTATTGACAAACATTTTGTAGTTTTCAATTTAAAAAATTTAACATTTTATTTTCTTCTTTTTCTTACAAATACAGCACATGGATTTTTTTCATTTTCTTCATAATCTCAAAATTTTTATTTTCCATAGGTTTCTATGTTTTCTATTATTTCATTTCCTACCTACAGTATACTGTAAGACTGTACTTCTTATATATAATGCTTTTATAGTTCAATTTTTAAAAATTGAGTCACTATACATTCTGAAGTAAGAAAAATGAGTTTTCATATATATTTGTTGTTTAATAAATGTGTTTTGGTAGCAAAAGAAAGTGTAACCACACATTGAGAGGTAGTGGTATACACACACATATAGACACACACACACACACACACACACACACCCTATAAACATTTGAAAAATAACTGAGAGAAAGTCTTTTTAAAGGCAGTACTCTTTAAACAAAAGTTGACCATAGGTAACAATAGTAGGTAATTAGTTCTTTTACAAAATTTGTGAGAAAGGTGAAATTCTCTATTGAAATAAAAGAAAAGTGCTACTGTTGATTTTTGGGAATGCCACACTGAGGTTAGTAACTAATTCAAACACTAGAAAATATGTTTAACTTCTCAGTGGAGAGAGCAGGCTGCAGAAAGTATATCCCATTTTCTTTCCAGCTTTGTTCTTTTTGTTTAAAGTCAGAATGATTTTAGAAGATAAAATTCTTTATTTTCATTCTTAAATAAGCTACTGTTAATTTATCTGTACAAATAATGGGTAACATTATTAACCTGAAATTAGCATTCACTAGAAAGTTTGTGCTAGATAAGGAATAAGCTTACATTTATATTTACTTAATGCATGGTTTTTTGACATAGCTTTATTCTCATCTGCAGCTAAACTTTATTAGACATTTTTTGTTTAAAATGCAAGGTACCAAAGCAGATACCTGGTAATAGAGAAAATATAAATGGTGTACCCATTTCAACTTACTACTATTTACAATTTTAAAATAACCTGACGCTTTTTTGCCAGAATTCCCTAAAACTTACATTCAATTACAGAAATGCTTAAAAGAAAGGCTAAATGTGTATATGAAACAAGGCCTAAATCACCCTTCGGAGATGATGTGTTAATAATATTATGGGATAGCAATTATTAGAAAAATGTTTTAGTGTACCTCAGTGTTTGTTAAATAAAGAATAGAGAAGGTATTTATTGTATCTTCTTTAATGTGAAGGCTAGAGTGGAAATGATAGTTTTCCGAACAGACAGACTTGGGTTCCAATCTGGGATCTGCTACTGCTTAGTTGGGTGATCTTGGGCAAGCTATTTCTTCTCTGAGAAAGCTGTTTCTTTATTTAGAAGACTGTGGGGTAGGTAGGGATAATACCTGTTTTATTGGTTGTTTTGAGGACTGAGAGGAAAAACATTTACCAAATTCTTGGTATACAATTATCCAGTAACTGTTACCTTTACCCTTCACTCCTCCAACTCTTCAGGATTTTCTCACAGTCTTATCTCAGTAACAACTTATGTTTTAAGCAGAAACTTGATTTAGATATTTTTTAAAGGTATTAATAAAACTCAGCCTTTTCCATTGTGTTTTCCAGCTCAATTCGACCTTCCAAAATTGGAACTACACGGTTTATGTCATTAATATCAGGTAAATGATAGAATAAAATTATTTGAGAAATTAAAAGTAGTGTCTAACTACTGCTACTATTTGGTTGTACCAACACATACAAATACACACACACAAGTACTAGATACACAATCTTTCTAAAACAACTCTATATATTAGTTTATTGCACAAAATCCTCAATGCTGCAGTGATGGTTTTAAAATGTTTTGATCATACATTCCAGTTAACTTGTATTTGTATTTTTAAATCATAAGTGTGTTTGGTGTGTGTGCTTGTGTAACTGAATCGATATACGTTATAATGTGTCAAAAATTAAAATTGCATCATTAAATATACATAGAAGTTGTTAGTTTCTTCTCACACCCTGGTGAATCACCTAGATTGCACCCATTTCAAAACCACTCTTTTTTTTTTTTTTTCCAGCTCTAATCTTGTACATCTACAGTCTGATTGCAATCTAACTTTTTGAAATTATCCCTCACTGTATTTATATTTAAATCCTCTGCTAATCTTCAGCAATTGTTATTGTCCATATATCCTCCTGTGTACCTTATTTTCACAGTTCTAAACCTGAACTCATTTTCTAAAGTGTATGTCATGACTCCTAAATATATATTCTGTGAACATAAGAGATTCAGTAACACAGAAAAGGGGTCGAATTGTCAGATAAGTTGAGGAATTACAATATTAAACAAACTGAAGCAGATTTCTTTATTGGAACGTTTCCATTTCTTCAGTGTAGTAATATGCATTGTGGATCTTCAAAACAGAGCAAAAGCACAGAGTTGCCTAGCTTTATGAAAGAAGCTGCAACCCCAGGACACACATTTGGAAATATTGGCTTAGAATTCTCATTCTGTCTCTTTATTTCAGGTCCCCAAATTTTACTGTTGATGATGCAGTTGAAGAGATAGATTAATGAATATATGTATTTTATTTATAGTTTTCACCTGAGCTCTGGAGAGGACAAGATTAAAGTCAAGAGAAGCACTGAGAATGATTCAAGGTAACAGGACAAAGTCTCATAAAGAGTGTAGCATTCTTTTTCTTGCTCACTACTTTAACTATCTGGTAGAAAAATGAAAACAGATGGGAAAGAAAAACTTAGCACAATTATTTCTTTAGCACTATTGTATGCTATTTTTTCTTGTAGTTAAAACTGTAATACAACACTGGGTAGTAATGTATATCTAATGAAAATAATTGAGAAATCGGGTATTTTAAATGGATGAATTATTGTTTTTAGTATTTCCAGTTTATGATAGCCTATTGCCTCTTGCTTGAAATTACAAAGACACCTTCAAAGTAAATAGCTTTAAGTGTTTACATATGATAGTATCTAATAATATGGATAATAGATGCCAAAATATTTTCAGCATTTAAAGCTCCAGCTAATTTTCTGAAGTCTCCATTTTAAACTGTATGTCAGGATCATGCTTTAATCATGCAGATAATTTAATGGTTATGTCCAGCATGTATGACCAGTTGGCATCTAAGGACCAAATGTTTAGAGTACTGTAAAACAAAAAAACTTAAACTTCCAAATGGAATAAATTTACTTGTTTTTCAGTTATTTGAGTCATGTATTGCATTTCTGTAGACTTTTTTTTTTTTTTTTTTTTTTTTTGAGACAATCTCACTTTGTCACCCAGGCTGGAGTGCAGCGGTGTGACCATCACTCACTGTAACCTCAAACTCCTGGGCTCAAATGATCCTCCTGCCTCAGACTCCTGAGTAGCTGGGACTACACACATGTGCCACCATGCCTGGCTAATTTTTAAAATATTATTTTTGTAGATACTGGGTCTCGCTATGTTGCCCAGGCTGACCTCAAACTCCTGGCCTCAAGTGATCCTCCTGTCTCAGCCCCCTAGAGTGCTGGGATTACAGGCATGACTGTAGCCTCCATAGATTTTTTTTTTTTTTTAAATTTGTCGTAAAGCAAAAGTTTCTATTCTAAGTCTTGCTGGATCTCAATAGACTGAATTGATATTATGGACACACAGCCCTGATGATAGAGTCTGCTTCTTTTCAGGTGATATATTAACTATGAGAAGTTAAAATTTCATATGAGAGTTGACCAGAGAACTTTTTTTTCTTTTCAGTTTAACATTGGAAAAACAAATGTTTTGAAAGTTACATTGAAAGATGTCATTTTTGTATACATAGTAAATGGACTGGATTGAGCCATCTGATTAAGGAAACTTGTTTTTATTTTCTGGCATTATAATTTTTTCTTTATGATATGAAAACATAGTAATGTATTTCAGTACTATATTCTTGAAGGTGACAGAACTCTTCCCCACTATTTAACAAAATAATTTTTTTCAATCCTTCCTGTTAGATCACATTGCATCTTCAGTAATGGATCCAGCAGCAATTGGGATCCCTTTGCTGGACACTTTTTGTAGCTTTTGGGACAGCCCTGGGTGTGGTAGATATCGCCAATGATATACGTTCTTCAGGCAGTCAGCATTCGCTTTTTAGTTTACTTACTGTGATTCTTCAACTACAAGGTAATACTAAAATCAGCCATCATTATTACATGTCAGCACTCAGAAACTCTTGCTTGAAAGACATTTAAATTCATGAGATTTCAGTTTCCTGGTCTGTCAAACCAATGAGTAATTTTACAGAAAATGGTAGGGAGAATGAACTAAGACAGTGTATATAGGAAAATCCAGATATTTAGGGGTTTTTTTTTGGTATGAACTCTTGCCATTATTTGATATTTATGTTTATAGCCTTTCTTGCCTCTCTTTTCTTCTATTTTCTATGGCTCTTACCCTCATTGGTGAGCCTTTATAGTCTCAGTTTTTCTCAAAACTACGGTCTGTTACTTTTACACACATTCTTTTTTTTATTTAAACTTTTCCTTTCAATTTGATTGTATCACTTAACCCAGACCATAGCTTCAGATAATGCTATCATACTCTATCGCCTAGACAGACAGGAAACCAAAGGCACAGAGACTTTTTTTTAAAAAAAAAATAAAGAATGACTGATGGTAACAACAGATAGAATGTGACTTTGTAGAACCATAAAGTAGTTTCAGTTTTCAGGATGAGAGAGGAAAACACACAGATAAGATCTGTGAAAATGTGTGGCTATTCCTGAATTATTGGGTTTGGATATTCAATATCACCCACAATACTTTGTGCTAATTATGTTCTCAGTATTCAAGACAAGTAAAAGTTTACATTCCCAGCTGTAAGTTCTCACCAACTGGAGTGGTGAAGCTTGCCTTCAAACAATGATTTAATCAAGGGATCATTTTTCATAGGCCATTTAAAAAATTAAGCTATCATAATGACATCTGTTTTTCACAGCTATAATTATGTTCACCTCTATGTTTGCCTCATCCTGAAATATGGCTTGTATATGAATGGTAAGCAGTAGATTATTTTAAAGAGAGCTTTTCAGAGTTAATTATGAGAATAGTAGAGCACCTTTTCCTTGAGATTAGCACAGATATTTAGGAAAGAAAAATTGAGCTATTCTTTAATTTCACCTAGCATTGAATAGCAAACATTTCACATATTCCTTCTTATTTTTAACACCACAAATAACTATGACTAATACTTATTATATAATTAATATTATAATTTTATAATATTAATAATTTTATATTATATATTTATATATAAAATATAAAATATATATTAATTATATATTAATAGAATATATAATATTAATTATACATATTAATATAATATAATAAAATATATAATATTAATTATATATATTTAATATAATATAATATAATATTAATCATATATTAATATTAATATTAATAATACTAATTAATATAATATAATTAATATAGTAATATTAATTATATATTAATAATATTAATAATTTTATATTATATATAATTATGTCATCATAATAAATTAAAAACAATACTACCACTTGGTCTTTGGCATGTAGACAGTAACTGATCTCAATAATATAATGTCTTATTATCTTACATTGTATTACTCATTTCTCCTCTGAATTTGAAGTAGAAACAAATTTTTTTTGGTGAACTCAGAGCTATCACATATAAGCAAAAGAAATTCTCCTCTATTTGACAAAATAATGTTGCTTACTTTTACCTCAGTGTTAAATTTTGATTTCTACTGTTGACTACAGCTGTGATTGTAGTTGAACAGAAAATTATATTACTTTAAATCATAGAACCAAAAGTTTTTAACAAAAGAAATTTTGGGATAAATTGCTTTTCTTCCCATATGTGCATTTCCTTTTTAAAGCTCTTCAACGTTAACCGTTGTATAACCTTCTTAAGTAATATACTGGCCAATTACCAAGTCTATTTTGAGTATTTATTCTGTTAAACTTTTTACCATACAAAGTACTTGCAAATGCTTCATGGAGATAGAAAATCATTTGTTGCTATTCTGAAGAAATTGTACCACATTTATAAACAGTAACAATTTCAAAAGACAAATGGTGAGTTGAAAAATAATGGAATATTTTTACCATTATAATTTTCACAGCAGTAGAGAAAGTCTGTAAGCACCTTGGCTAACCTCTTCAGTCACAACAGTTGATGGTCATCCATCTACATCTAAATGTTCTGTTTATCCGACCAAATAACAACCGACCAATCGACAACAACAGTTTTATCTGAAATGTTTTCCTAGGTTGGTACTTTGGGCCCTTCTAGTTTACAATGCTACCAACAATACCAATTTAGAAGGAAAAATCATTCAGCAGAAGCTCCTAAAAAGTAATGAGTCCTTGGATGAAGGCTTAAGGCTACATAGAGTGAATGTGAGACAACTATGTAAGTGACTTTAATTTTTTATAATGTGTAACTATATATTTAGGTTTAATGGAAACAACAGGAATATTCTTTATGTGCTATTTGTTTATGTAATTTTTTTTCTGATGATAAAGTTCAGCAACAAATGTGTGACATAGCAAAAAAATAAAAATAAAATCAGCACAGCACTTATGAATCCAAGAAAATGAAGGAGGTAGATGAAAGTTTATACTTTACTATAGGGACATATTTTGAAAAACTAACAATATGTACAAAATGCCAGAATAATCTTGATCATCGTTGGTGTCAACTTCAGGAATAAAAAGAATGTATAGATGTGGATATGGGAACCCTAATGAGATAAATCTTAAGGATATTTCCTGTTATAAAACATCTCCTGCTGGGCATGGTGGCTCATGCCTATAATCCCAGCACTTTGGGAGGCAAAGGTGGGAGGATCACTTGAGCCCAGGAATTTGCGAGTAGCCTGGACAACACAGGGAGACTCTCTCTATGGAAAATTAAAAAATTAGTTGGGTGTTGTGGTGCGTGCCTGTAGTCCCAGCTCCTAGGTGGGCCTGAGGCAGGAGGATCGCTTGAGCTTGGGAGGTCAAGGCTGCAGTGAGCCATGTTCATGCCACTGTACTCCAGCCTTGGCCACAGAATGAGACCCTATCTCAAAAAAACAGAAAATGACTCCTTCTCTTATGTTCTCTGTCTCTATTAGTAGTAGGTCAGGAATCTAGGGGTTCTATTGAACCTAGAAACAAGTCTCTCCTGGAGATTGTTCACATCCTAAGCTCTAACCACACATGTGGTACTGCTTGTACTTCCACAAAGAGCCTGTGCTCCTTTACCTGACCTTTCTATATATTTGCCCACACTGTTCTTCTTCACTCCTGCCATCAACCTCATTATTACCTATGTATTTTTAAAGACGGCTTCTAAGTCACTTGTTCTGTGGAACCTTTTCTGACATCGAGTATAGACATCACTGCCTTTGAGCCTCTACTTCATGTTGTCCAGATGCCTAGATCATCATGCACATCAAAAGACCATAGTCCAGAACCCAGCACATTCCCTGGAACTTGAACACTTGCTGAATAAATGAATGAATGAGTCTGGATGAGTTTTATTTTAGGAAAGCAAATATTTGCAAATTGGATAACAAAAAGCAATTGTTCTAATGTTACTCTATGTTTACAATTATACTATGATTAGGTACATTAGTAGAGATCAAAAGAAAAGAATTGAATTGAGAGAGGCAAGTGTTCCTCAGCCTAGAAGAGGGCGATTGCGACTAAGGCCAGAATCATAGTGTAGTAAAGAGGCAGGCATCTCCACTTCTGTGAGGAGCCGCCCATCTCTATTGGGTTGATGTACACATTTACAAAGACCTCATAGAGATGAATGAATGCAAAGAATACTAATCATGATGATAAACCATTTCCGAGTCTGTATGGGAAAATACTTCCTAACAAATGGAGCTTTTTGGAGAGAGGGAGAATGCGGCCTGCTACCCTTTCACCTATAGGGGTTTTCACAAAGGAAGAGCCTGACAAATGGTAGTTTATCTATGACTGGAGAACCCTGGGAGGACCAGTGCATCTCTTTCCTCATAGGCTGGGAAAGCTCAACACTACTCTCTCTGTATACCTAGACATGTAATTTAAACTAGTTAATTTAAATTATCCGTTTTGTTGTTTTTCTGCAAGTGAGTCTGCGGATAAGCATTTCTACTATTGGAAAAATAAAAAGCTAAAACCTGACAGTTTTAAAGCTCATGGTATACATGGGAAAGTGACTTGAATTTTCAGTTGGTGATGATAGGACTGGTTCCCAGTAAACTGATGTAACTTGCTAATGTTCACCAAAATACAGGAGTTTATTGTTGTTGATATTTTGCTGTTATTATGATATTCTTTAAAATACAAAATCTGAATCATTGATGTCAGGAGGCTTACTTCGAAGGTTGTCAAACAAAAAGTCATGATTTGAGGATAAAGAAGTCTGAGGGTGTGGTGTTGGTTCGCAGGTTCCTTCTTGTGGCCCCCTTAGTAAGCTTCCAGGCAGGAGAGGCTGTCAGACCAGCTGGAACATTTTCCATAAAATAGCCCCACAACTCAAAGGTGACACTCTTGAGGCATCATTTTTAGGCTTTCCTCTTTGAAAAAAGGATCGAATTACATTTTGAATTTTTTAGGATTGCTTTCCTTCTCTGCAGTGTTTCTTTTAATAAAACTAGTATCTGCTAATGATTGGAAAGATAATGTATGTTTCATGTTTATACTTATATAACTGTTTGTTACTTAATGGATTTGTCTGATGTAATAATTTTTGTTTTTGAAGTGTATTAAATGTTAATGTTTTTTCTAACTTCTATTTTTTAACAAATCTGAACATAAACACTAATATTTTGGTATTACGTTAAAGGAATACCTAATTACCAGTATTGTCAATTTGCTTTCATCCTGCACCTCTAATTTCTAATGTTAAAAAATAGGTGAATATTTCCCATGCTGTTTCTTATTTTCATATAGATCTATGTCCTGCCGTGGAGGAACCTGAAGGCTTCAAGTGGCCATCTATCGTACCTTCTGAATACACTCTTCCTTGTCCAGAAAAGCCTGGCTTTAATGTTACACGGATATGGTAATATTTTCACTGACTTTTGTCGGCAAGGCTCCACGTTATAAACCTTCCCAGGGTTATACGTGCAGCATGGTAGTTCTCAGGCATTATGTTGATTGCAAAGAAGGGCAGAAATCTATGTATGCCTGTTTCATTCATTCCTGGGGAGTAAAGATAACATAAGTTGGTGACTCAGAAAGGCAGTGTTTTCCTCCTAACCATATGCTAATCAAGCCCTCTCAAAGAAACATTGAAGAATTTAGAAGCCATTGGGTAGCACCAGAGCCCAAAGTAGCTTGTTCCTCTAGCCTAGCCCTGGAACGTGCATCTGGAATTCTGAAACTTTTTAACTATTGGTACTGATTATTGTTGGAATGAGGAAAGGAGGCAAAGAAGAAATAAAGACAAGATCCAGATTGGGGTAGAAATAAAGACAAGATCCAGTCTGCTGATGGAAACTGTCAGGGTATAGATTTTCTCTAAATGTTTAACAGAAACCTCAGAGACAAGACAATAGTAGGGATTCATGGAATAGCAAGTCAAATCCATTTCTCCACCCACTCACTCTCAATTAGAGCTTTTTTGGGGGAAAGTCAGAAATGGAAACTGCCTAAGCATAAATATTTTGCATACTGTCAATACTGCTGTGTTTGACACTTTGTAGAGAGGAAAGAAGGGGACTTCAGAGATTCATGGACTTGAGTTTGAAATGTGGCTCTTTCTCTTCCTGGCTATGAGATGGACAATTCATTAATTTATCAAATTCCAAATTATTTTCTATAAGATGGGGATTATAATCTGCTTTGCAGAGTTATATGAACTCAAAATCAGATTTTACCTGTAAAGTTCTTAAATCAGTACTTGGCCAATGGATCTCAGGTTAGGATATTGCTAGTATTTTGTTTCCAAGAGGTAAGCTGCTGATTTTTTCCCATAAGAATTCTTAGCATGATATTTATTTCAATGCATTACAGTTTTATTTTCAAAGGAAACTTATCTAGAAATCAAAGCAAATCCCAAAAGTTGTTAACTATTTTTTTCAGTTCTAGTATTATTTATAGAAAAGCAGGAAAAGAAAACTTGTAGAAGGAAATAGTGCAAATGGAGAAACAAACTGGGGTGAGAGAGGAGAGAATGAGGAAGGCTAAGAACGAGGTGGAGAAGTGGATGGAATTTGGGAACATTGTGTATAGAGGGCAATAAACAGAAATGGGTTAGGGAGATGGGGGAACATAGATATATGAACAGGTACAGAGATAAACAGAGAAAATTAAATTGGAAGCAGAGTGAGAAGTTCAGTGTCTTAAAGGGAAGCTTGTCCATTGATCATATTGTAATAAATGTATACATTATATACAAATCTCTTTAAGTAGTAAAAATAACAATATCAGTTATATAAAATATTTAAAACATCTATTTTGTTTCATAGTTTTTACAATGCTTCCAACTTCTCTGAAACCTACTGGGGACCTGTTGATATCTCCAACTGTTTAAGTAAGTGAGAAATTTTCCTTTGTTTTTCAAGGTAAAAATGAAATGACTTCATGCTTCATGGTTTTCATTGTCTTCAGGCATATTCTTCTGCTATGTGATACTGTTTTCATGTTAAAAGGCAAACGATGGTTTTACTTAAGATAGAAAATACTTTTTACTTTCATTTCAACTTTCTGTTCTGTAGGAGATTTAAAATAGTAAGGAAAATCTAGAGAAGACAAAACTAACATATAAATTAGTATTTATGTCAACATTTTGTAGTTTGTATTAAGTAGCAAATATATATTTATTCATTGATTCTGGAAACGTTTCTCTTAGGACTTTGTGTGATCATTCATCCCTCCAAGTTATGTGTATCTTACTAAAGAGAGAAGTTAGTCTCTGCATAGAAAGAAATATCATTGCCTTGTGAAGGTGGGGATGAGGTATAAACAGGAAAATCTCACTTTCTTGCTTCAACTGTAAAGTAAAATATTACACTCTTCTTTGAATTCCTGGAAATGCTCAAAATATGCAGATAAAACAGTGTTATTTTCTTCTGCCTTTTTTTTAGAGGAAGCAAATGAAGTTGCTACCCAGATTTTAAATTATACTGCCGATGGGCAGAACTTAACCTCAGCCAATATTATCGACATTGTGGAACAAGTCAAAAGAATTGTGAATAAAGAAGAAAACATTGATATAACACTTGGCTCAACTCTAATGAGTATATTTTCTAATATCTTAAGCAGTTCAGACAGTGACTTACTTGAGTCTTCATCTGAGTAAGTATTTTTTTTTTTTCTGGAGAGTAAATTTTATTGGATAAATATGATGTTACATCATTTCTCACCTATCTGAACACTTTGTGCCCAGACTTCATAATTCAAATCTCTGCAAGATGTATTGATAGTCATTAATAATTAAGCAAGGTCATTGACAACATTAACTTAAAAGTTGTGTATGTGGTTTTTTTTTATTTTTGAGAAATATAATTTACCATATCCACAGCCGTAGAAAGCATAATCAGTATTTCATTTTTTATTTGGAAGTTCTAAATTTCATTTAAAAATTCTAAAATTCTAAATTTAGTTGGTCAGTAGAGTTATGCATAACTGGTCATCGTAAGTCCACGATACTGTGAACTATGCCCGTGACAGCCATAGCCACGTGGTTGTTGGCCTTCTGAAATGAACATGCTGGGACAGATGAAAATACACCTACATTTATATGATTCAGTTTGTATTTAATTGCTTCACTTAATGTATTAATATTAAAATATTTACTGTTTTTTATTTCCCACCCTTCTACATTTCTCTGAAGAAAATTTTATACTTGATAAAAATGTATTTTCTCACTTAATCTACATGATAACAATATAAACATTTTTACAGTGTCTTGCAGTTCACAAAACACTTTTATCACATTGTTTCCTTTGATTCTTGATAAGCCATAAGGTAGCGAGGATGCTTTCTCATGTGAGGAAAGAGAAGCTTTTAAAATTTGTTTTAAAATGAAAAACACTATTTGTTCAGGATGATTTAATTGTTTATTTTCCTTAAAGCAGATATTTCTCTTGAGGATACATCCATCCCTGTGATTCCATGTTTTAACAGATATCACTGTGGTCTGGGGTAATTTTATGGGTGTTCATGTTAAGATCAGAAAATCTAAAAACAATTTTATTTGATTTATATTTTGCCACAAAGCAAAACATGTATGTTTAAGTACCTAAAATATTGTATTACTTAACACTGGTATTTTTGTCATTTATTTAGAGCTTTAAAAACAATTGATGAATTGGCCTTCAAGATAGACCTGAATAACATATCGCATGTGAATATTACAACTCAGAATTTGGCTCTTGGCGTATCATCCCTGTTGCCAGGGACAAATGCAATTTCAAATTTTAGCATTGGTCTTCCAAGCAATAATGAATCATATTTCCAGGTAATGAGCCAGTGGTTTCTTTAATTTTAATTAATTACTTAGATATATAAAAACTTTCTGATCACTTAGCAGTTGCTGCTTCAAGGAGATCTTGGCCCATGAGGTGGCAAGCAGGTCTGAATGCTGGTTAAGTTTAACAGGGGCAGTAGCCATAAGGCATTGTGGAAGCTCAAAGTGGGTATACTTTCATAACCTGGGTGACAGAGGTGATCCACTTACCTTCTACAAGAGGGGTTACTGGAGCTAAGCATGAGTAGAGAACACTATACTTGAGGTGAGGATCAGTTCAGTTAGAGGAAAGAGCTTTATTAAGGGCCCCAAAATGAAAAGAAGCATAGTGCATTCTTTTTGCCAGTGGTTCTCAAACTGAATAGTAGAATCTTCTGGAGGAGGCTGGGTATGATGGCTCGTGCCTGTATTCCCAGCACTTTGGGAGGCCAAGGTGGGTGGATCACTTGAGGCCAGGAGTTTGAGACCAGCCTGGCCAACATGATAAAACCCCATCTCTACTAAAAACACGAAAAAAGTTAGCTGGGCATAGTGGTTCATGCCTGTAATTCCAGCTACTTGGGAGGTTGAGACATGAGAATCACTTAAACCTGGGAGGCGGAGGTTTCAGTGAGCCGAGATCATGTGACTGTGCTCCAGCCTGGGCAACAGAGTGAGACTCTGGAAAAAAAAAAAAGAATTTTCTGGAGGACTTGTTAAAACAGATTTCTGGGACCTACTCCGGGAGTTTCTAATTTAATAGATCCTAGGTAGGCTCCCCAAATTTGCACTTTTAGCAAGTCTTTAGACATTGCTGGTCTAAGTATCACACTTTGAGAACATGTGATGTAGAAGTCTGGAATAGCAGGTGACAGTAAGCCTAGACACATACGCAGGGGCTGGATTAATGGGGAATCTTTTCAACATGTTCAAGTGATACATAAGCAAAGAATTTTCAAGTTCCTACTGCATGCCAGACAATATTAGCCATCAGAGCAAACAAAATGAATGAAGCATTGTTCTTGACCTGGAAGAGTATATGTGAAGTGTACTATTTCTTTAACTGCGGAGATAGAACAAACTGCAAATATAAAAATCCTGAAAGCAGGATACAGGCAAGACTTTTTTTCCTCCATTAGACTAGAGGCTATTTTGGATAATTCTCTTCCACATTTTAAAGAGTAAAAACTCAGTCAACCTCACTCTCATTCCAAGACTGTTCGCAAGAAAGCATTCTTTGGCCTTGAGCTATGATTTCAGGAAAAATACTATCTGAGAGTGTTCGTAAAATTTTAATGCAGTCTGAAATCCACAAGTTAACTTCAGTCTCTTTCTCTCTCCCTCACCTCTTCCTCCCATAGCTGTTATCTTTCACTATGTGTTTTGAGAAAACCTCAAAATCTGCTGCTGGTAAATCTAATTCTTATACTTGAAAATGTTGACTGATTTATAGATTTCTCCCCATGTCTTTGTTAAAATCAATGCATTTTCTCCTTTGACACACATTTAAAACCCAAATGAGATCTACAGCTCTGTCTGTAGGGGTTTATCTAGGAGTTACAGTGACTACTGTAGATACAAAGGGAAATCCTGGTCCTGACTAACTTGAACTTGCAATTGTTCACTTGCCTAACTATGCATGTGGAGTGAAGTTATTATCACCGTTTAATTGTGATTGCTTGACCAGTATATCTCTGTGTGTGTGACAGATGGATTTTGAGAGTGGACAAGTGGATCCACTGGCATCTGTAATCTTGCCTCCAAACTTACTTGAGAATTTAAGTCAGGAAGATGCTGCATTAGTTAGAAGAGCACAGTTTACTTTCTTCAACAAAACTGGACTTTTCCAGGTAAACACATTCATTAAATGATAATTTTTCAATTGCAAATTAAGTTTCTTTGCTCAAAGGCAAAAAAACAAAAGTTTAGATTCCTTTGAAATATATCAGGAGGTTTAGAAAAATTTACTGTGTTTTCAAAAATGAAAATTTTTTATATAGTTGTTTAAATATTTTATTTCAGATAATATGCTTGTTAACAGGTTGTATGTATTTCAGTTTTTAAAATAATTCAAGTATTAGACTAAAGCCTGCATTAAAAAATTAGAAATTGAATTAGTGAATAAATGACTTTATTATTACGTTCATTAAATATTTTATGCTCTTCAATCATTTAGGCCTTTAAAAGAAATTGCACACCAAAGGAAAGGTTTTTTTTTTTTTTTTTTTTTTTTCAGCGGGAAACACTGTTTACATAATGAACAGCATTCTTGGCTTTAATCAGTTTTCCCATTAGCATTTCAAGTGACCTTTAGTCTTCACACATCCGCAGAGTTGGATGGCATTGTGCTAAGCACATATTATTATTTTTATTGGCATCATTTCTAGATGCTGGAAGACCAACTGCCAGCAAACACTGGTGACCTCTGTTTGCCTTTGCAAGTACAACCTGATCTAGAGTGGTTTTGCTGGGCTTTAAAAAAAAAAATAAAACGTATCTATTAAATTCAAGGTATCAGTGCATATTGAACAATGTGACTTATGTAAGAGAAAATAGCAAGACTCAAGGCCAGGGAATTGATTTTAATAGATCTGCCTTTGTAGAGGAATGGCCAAGTAGAGATATAGTCAAGGAAAAAGAATACCATGGAATCTTCGACAGCAATTAAATCCCAAATTTAAAAATTTTATCAACAGATGTTTTAGGAACCATCGCTATACAAATTTTGTGATGTATGTAAATATAATTTATGCATTTTATATAAGAACATGTGTAATTTACCCTGAAAGATTTAATAGCTATAACATTTACAACTGCGTTTGTTAAAATCATGGCAATTTGAAGTATATGACAATGTTATCTTAAAACCAATATACAAATGAAGTAGGTGCCACAAAATGTGAATGGTACAGAAGCCCTGTGGAAAGGGTTGGAGACAACTCTCAGATTTGCAAGAATCTATCATTGTTTTGAGTCATTATTTCCTTCTCCTTTGGTATATCCCTGCCAAAGTTGTTCTTAGGAAGCATATCTGGGCAGGGGAGGTGGCTCTTGCCTGTAATCCTAGCACTTTGGTAGGCAGAGGAGGGAGGATGGGAGGATTGCTTGAGACCAAGAGTTCAAGAACAGTCAGGCCAACATAGTGAGACCTGTCTCTTAAAAAAAAAAAGGAAGCATATGTTATGTGTATATTTTATAGATATGTATTACATATCTTATATATTAGTGTATATAAATATTAAAGTCAATTTACAGTAGAATGAAAAAAAAACTTTAAGGGTTCTGTGATGCTCCCCTATCGTAGTGGGCAAGATATGATGGGGTTTTTTGTGTGTTTTACTGAAAGGCTGGTCATCACCAGCTAATAGCTGACGTTATTAACAGTGACCACCATACAAAATAAATAAAAAGCTATATTCTGGATGCTGAGTTTTATTTGGAATTTAAGAAATCCTGTAATCATTCCGAAACAACTGATTTGTAAGCTATGATATAGATTTGGACAAGAAATACAAGGGAAAGAAAAAAATAGAGATGAACTTGCTGGAGAGAAAGCTTATTGGTCCAAACTGTTTTATGTAACAGATTTGATTTTCTGATAACCTTGTTATTTAAGTGAAATCTGCATATGCTGGCAAGTATACAATCAGAGAAGAAGATAGAAGTCCTGGATGGGACTTGAATTCAGTATTACTTTTAGGTATAAATTAGTAAACATGTTAGGCTGTTGGCATGGATGTGAAAGATGAATTGCTTTTTATTTTTCACACCATATTCTTACTTCTCTGAAAGAAAACAGCTTCATCTATTTTCTAGAGTAGGGAAATGATCTCATTGTTTCACAGCTTTTTATGAGTTTATAATATTTATGAGTCTGCATTGTTTCAGATGTTAACTGGCTGACATCAGTCACCAGAATCAAGAATGCAGTTTTATGAATATAATCTTACAATATTGGCTCCCGGTGTTCCCTCAATGTATTTATTATAATAAGGGAAATAACAAAGCTCCTTCAGGAAGGCCAGCAACTTGATGTGATAAACAGGATGTTCGAGAACTGAAGATCTTAAGTGTAAAAATTGCTGACAGTTTGCTTATTTTGGAGCGCCAAAGTAAAATAAAAGTGTGTACTTCTAACTGACACACATGATTTTTTTTTCCTTTCAAAGGATGTAGGACCCCAAAGAAACCCCTTAGTGAGTTATGTGATGGCGTGCAGTATTGGAAACATTACTATCCAGAATCTGAAGGATCCTGTTCAAATAAAAATCAAACATATGAGCACTCAGGTAAGAAAATGCTTCCAGTAGCATCTGGACAGTGGTAGACTATTTCGGAAACTAGTGGGGCTTTTTTTCCTACATGTTAAAAAGTAACTGACCCTTTTTTGTGGTGTAGGACCTAGTTTTCCATCAAGAGAGAATGGCTAGTCAGGTAGTGCTTTAAAGTCACGACAAATTGAAGCAGCTGGAGAAGTTAGTCTTATCTAGGACTCAATAATCAGAAAGAGAAGAGAAGTGAAGAAAAGGGCTTCTGCTTTTAAGATACAACATATATTGCTTCAAAGAAATTAAATGCAGATGTAGTTGCACAATTCTGCCAATAGAGGTTTTTGTTGTTTCTATTTCTGTGTATATTTGCAAAGATAACTGCAACTGGAAAAGCCAAGAAGAAACAGGGGAGGGTGGACTTATTTTTTGAGAGTTTGCAGTTATTTAGTATTTGCAAAAGTTGCTTTTCTTGTTGCTTCATTACTCTTGTCATCTGTTTGATAAAATTAGATGGGAATTCTTACTGTCCCAGATGGCCCAGGAACAGGTTTTTCTCACTTTTCTAGAGGGCCCTCATCATGATTCTGGCATTTGTTAGATAGGCAGGAAGGCAGGCAGGCAGGAAATGAGTGGGCTGAGGATTGAAAACCAAGTCACCTAAGATCTAGCCTCCTTTGTCACGAACCATCTTAGACTTCCTTGTTCAACACTTTGGCCTCCTTTGTTTCAGCCCCTTCATTCATAAGGGAAGATATTTTTTTAATTGTGAAACATACATAATATAAAATGTATCATCTTAATCATTTTAAAGTGTACAGTTCAATAGCATTAAGTGTCTTCACATTGTTATGCAGCCATCACCACCGTCTGTCTATCCAGCTGAAACTCTCCTCCCATTAAATATCCCTGCCCTGTTCTCTCCTTTCGATAGCACCTGGCAACCACAATTCTATTTTATGTCTCTTAATTTCACTACTCTAAGTACCTCACACGAGTGGAAACATAGAGTATTTGTCCTTTGTGACTGGCTTATTTCACAGCACAGTGTCTTCAAGATTCTTCCATGCTGTAGCATCTGTCAGAATTGCCTTCCTTTTTAAGGCTGGGCAGTATTTCATTGTACGTATATACCAGATTTTGTTTTTTCTCCATCAATAGATGCTTGGGTTGCTTCTATTTTTCGGCTCTTGTGAATAATGCTGCTGTGGACATCAGTCTACATCAAGTCCTTGTTTTCAATTTGTTTATGTAAATACCCAGACATAAAGGAGAATTTTGAAGATGGTGTAGAATTGTAGTTTCAAGAGCATTGCTAAATGCTAAGAATGAGTAGAATCAGTATATTTAATGATGGGACATTTGTAGTAACCTACAGATAAATGGGTAGGTAGTATGATTCCTCATGAGGTTACAGTAGACTTTCTCTTGAAGTCTCTGTGGGAGAGAAGATCCCCCTGAATTGCCTGACATTTTCGGGTTATGTTGGCATGTTAATGCTAATCTATTTCTCTGTGAAACTCTTTGTGTTTTTATTCTTTTGCCATATTTAAATCATGACATTTAAACACAATTTCACATGTTTATTCTTATGTTAATATAGGAAGTGCATCATCCCATCTGTGCCTTCTGGGATCTGAACAAAAACAGTAAGTTTTAAAATATTGGTTGTCTTAATATAGATAACAACTGAATTTTAAACATTGTTAGACACCCCCATTTCCTTTAATTCCACCCCAAACCAGAGTGAGTCACAATGTAAGTGTAAATGACAAATAAGCTGCAAAGTTAGTTTAGGTAGCTTGGAAAGTCAGTTCTAATTTCTGTAATTTTTCAGTCATTGCAAGAAGAAATAGGCAGACTTCACTATGTTTTCTTTCATTTTTTTTCAGTTGAACAACCTCTTTGACATCAGTTGCTTGTAAAATACAGCATACATTATTGCTACTTTTGATGAAAGTAGACGTGCACTTAATCTCATTCTTCTAACACACATTTGAAGAGATTACTTGATCTAAGGCAGACAATTTAAAATCCAGCTTCTAGACCTCCAGTTATAAGGGAGGTGAGAAGCTGACTGAAGGAATGTAAGTATAGGAGTGATTATAATGGACATATATTACTTGAAAGAGAAGAACAGCCTTCTGAATTAGATTTGACAGTCAAGAAAGGAAGGCAAAATTAAGGGATGAGTCAATCAGTAGGTATAAGGTGTTGAAATCTCTTTGAAAGGAAGTACAAATAAAGAAACTTCTCTGTCTATCCCTGGTGAGGATTATTGTGGCCAGATTCATTCTGATATCAATGCCAGTTGCTTGGTTGATGAAAACAGCCTGAAAAGGGCAAAAACTTCTTTATTTGATAGTCCTTGTCACAGCAAGACAGGTGTTTTTTTGTGGAGGGGTTTAGTTGCATAATTTTGAGAAGATCTTTACTCATTTACATAGTTAAAAGTATTACTTTGTATCTTAAACTATTATTTAAATAAATGGATTCAATATTTCGACAATACATGTTGCTTATACTCCATTTTCTACCAAAAAAGTCAGGTAAGGTGTGTCCAAGCCATTTACAATAAGCTACCCCATTCATGACTCCTAAATGACATTCTAAGAAAGCAAATGTTCTTTGTTCTTATGTCTTCATGAAAATGTAAATTAACCCTCAGAAAAAAATTGTTGGCCCCCAAGAGTTCATTAGTGTGTACTGTATTTGAAAAGGAATACTCTTTTTATAGAAGTTCATTTTAAAATATGTTAAAAATTCACTTGGATCAAATATTTGTGGACCTCCTGAGTTTGAACCCACTGATTAGATCACTTGTAACTGTCTGCCCAAACTAACACTTGATGATTCCAGGAATCCAAATTATTCTAAACATTGAAAGCTTTCATAATGGTATTCATTTTAGAGGTAAACTCTGCATGGCAGAAGAGACTGAGGCAAATTTCTCTATAGAAGTTCTCATCCATTATGCAGAAGACACTTATCTGCTGTTTTCACACTGTTTGTTGATTCCTTCAACAGAAAGTTTTGGAGGATGGAACACATCAGGATGTGTTGCACACAGAGATTCAGATGCAAGTGAGACGGTCTGCCTGTGTAACCATTTCACGCACTTTGGAGTTCTGATGGTAAGGGGGGAATTTCTAACCTCGTTTGTACACGCTATAACTTTGGATGGCATATTCCTTTTTTGTGAGTCCACCTTTTTAGTTTATTTATTTTGGCAATTATTTCCTGATAGTTTTCATCTGTATCATCTGTATTATGAATCTTAATTCTTTTTTTTTTTTTTTTTTTTTTTTTTTTGAGATGGAGTTTCGCTCTTGTTACCCAGGCTGGAGTGCAATGGCGCGATCTCGGCTCACCGCAACCTCCACCTCCTGGGTTCAGGCAATTCTCCTGCCTCAGCCTCCTGAGTAGGTGGATTACAGGCACGCGCCACCATGCCCAGCTAATTTTTTGTATTTTTAGTAGAGACAGGGTTTCATCATGTTGACCAGGATGGTCTCGATCTCTTGACCTCGTGATCCACCCGCCTTGGCCTCCCAAAGTGCTGGGATTACAGGCTTGAGCCACCGCACCTGGCCTAATCTTAATTCTTAATAAAGAATCTAATTAGCAAAGATCACATCTTAAAAATATGTAAAAGTATTACAGAAAAGAACTATCTCCCTTTTTTTTCCCCCTGTAGCATTAACAATAATGATAAATAATCCCAGAAACAAGAAAATCCCCGTGAAATTCTTGAATTAAGAGAGCAACAGTATCAAGGAGATAAACAGGAGACAAGTGCAGGGAGGGAGAGAAAGTTAAGAAAATGCTGGGTGTTACTATCATGGAAGGGAATTGTGGACAGTGTAATCAAAAAGATTTTTTCCTTATGTTGTCATTCACTCAATATATTTGAATATTATTTTGTACCTTGTGCTGCACCAAGTGATCTCCCTCCTAGAGATTGCAGTTTGTTAGACAGACTAGTGACTAGGGTTAGAATGAGACTTCAGATCTGCAATAGATGAGGGTATGATGTTTCTGTCACCTTTGGACCTCTATGTATCATTGTTCTTTCCTTCCTTCTTCCATATCCCTGTTTTATTTATCTTATTAGCCAGCTTGCCACACAGTTTGAAACAAAAACTAGATTGCATCGTGGTGTGTTTTTTTATCCCACCAAATTTTAAGACCTACCACACATCCAACGACTTGTTGAAATTCATCCATAGATTTATACCTTCAGCTTTTACCCAGTATACTTGTGATTTTGCAGTTTTCTGTTGTCCAGAAAACTGTTTGCAAAATCACAAGTATACCAGATAAAAGCTAAAGGTATAAATCTGGGTTTTAGCATAGACTTTGTTTCTGCATGGTTTTCATAAAGGGAAAACATTTGTTTTTTTTTAATAGGAGATAGGAGTAATGTGAGCCGAGGCAATAAAGCTTTCAAATTAGAATCACATATGTCAGATTTTGTTTATCCCTGCCTTTAAATCTTGCACCCTTCTTCCTGTGGGGACTGGGAGGAAGCCACAAGGATCTGTGGGATGTAGTATTTGGCTCATGAATCTACTCAGCCTATGTAAATGGTCATTGTCATAAGGCAACCCTGCAAGCTGTAATTTTCCTGACAATCAAGTACATAAATGCTCCCAGGAATAAGAAAAAGTCATTTAAAAAGATGATGAATCATAGAAGACACCTTTTTAACTATCCAAAATATGAATATTTTGTCTTCGCTGCCAGAGCATGAAAATGAACAATTCACTATTGCATATTTTCCTTCAGTAATCATACAAGAAAATTCAGTTACTTTCCATGTTCTCTTTTCTGCAAAAGTGGTAGCAGGCATTCTTTCAGAGAACACTAATTTTTCATGGTTACTCATTCAGATATGTAAAATTTAGCTTAATTTATTTAAATATTTCAACTATGTGCATGTTGTAAGTCTAATATTAAATAAATAGATAACAATAACAAAATGTACTCTTCAGAGATGATTTATATGCAGCCAGAGTTTGCCTGTCCCCTACTTCACATGGCCAATTCCCTCATATGTTGTCTAAATTTTACGAGTTTTTAATTACATATTCTTTTTTATGTTGCCACCTGATTGAATGGTGAATTGTATAAATAGATATGTGAAAATAAGCATCTTTCATGCTATCTTTCCATTTTCCACCTTGTCTGTTTTTGTAATATTAAAAATTACTGGTAGAAAATCTTCCTAGAACTTATCTTCTTTGGTGATTTTCTCTTATGTTTTCAGCTTTTCCAGACCACCAAGATTTTGTTAAGAGTTTTTTTTTTTTGACTCAGAAACTCTTTATTCTTTTGTATAAAATATTTCCAGAGTCTGCATTGTCCCATGACACATTCACCAATTCACCATATGAGAAGCAAAAAAATGCACCTCGTACCTGTAATTATATCTTCTGATCTGCAAATGGCTTAAGAATTTAATGTCTTCTGCTACATTTCTTTGTACTAAAACTGGTTTTCATATTTTTAAGATTAGTACATTTTCATATTGGCTATATTGTTAATATAAATGTTTTCATATTTTCATTCTCTCAGAGAGCAAAACAACATGGAATTGTGTGTAAACCTGTATCAGTAAACAGACTTATTTAGTTTCTATTTGAAATTCTGGGTTTAATTCTGATATGCAAGTCAACTGCCTTGCCTAGATAGCAACCATAGGTTTTTCAAGAGGTTGTGACACATCACTTGGCAATCTCTCAAGACTATGATTCATCTTTCTGGGCTAATAAAATCCTGTAGTAACCAAAATATTGGTTGAGGTAGCCTATCTGTGAGTCAGGTGGCACTGACTCAAACCCCATTCCATGTGCCCTGGGAGCCCCGTGTTCTCCCAGTGTTTTGAGAGATTCCTGGGATAAGAAGATAGGGTAATCTCCCCCAGACTCTGAGCCTCTGCCTCTGCTGAATTCCATCCCTTTGTGTATTTCTTGATGTCACAGAGATACTGTGTCTGTTCTTTATTGCATCAGTAAAACCTGAAACTAACCCACAGTTCCTTCTTGTTACTTACACACACACATACACACACACACACACACACACACACACACACACACCTCTCTCTCTCTCTTTTCCTCTCTCTTAAGGCCTGTGTGTGTGTAGCAGATATTATTGGCATTTTAGTGAAAATTAAAGAAAATTTAGAAGGAAATATAGAAGAAAAATCATAAACATTTTCTCCATAATTTAAAACCTAAAAAATTACACTAGATATTCAATACATCTCTTCTCTAAGAACACTCAGTTTTTGAACATCTGCATAGGAGGTAGCTTTCTCCTCCAACCAGGATTGAGTGATTGGTCGTACTTCAAGATTTATTCCTATACCAATCCACCATTTAAGGAGAAAAAGATTTTCCTACCAGGTCCAAACTTTGTAAGTCTCCCTTAGCACATTGAAATTAATAATTTATATTAATTCACTGGAAAGTATTTAGTTCTTTCCACTCCACAACAGCACTGAACAATTTAAATTGTATCCTTTCATTACTATGGGAATAAAAAAAAAAAAGATGACCCCCAAAACTCTTAGTGGCATCTCATTTATGAAAATAAAAACTGCCCCGCCTCATACATACCAGGCATTGCAATGACCAGGATTAGGAATCTCAGCACCACCCTTAGAGCCTGGCAGTCACAGCACCAGCACCAGCCTCTGGCTGAGCCCCTCGCTACCTGGCAAGGAACCTAAAGGCTTGAGGGTTTGGCCATATAGACTACCGTGGTCTCCTTTTGAACTGATGGGTGCCCCCAGCCCTGCAGATGTTAGGAATGGGTCTGATGGTTTATTACGCAAAGCAACCACTTCCTCTCCAATTTCTTTTGGGGGTCCTGGTGGTTTTGATCTTCAGGTTATACTGGTGTGCAAAGAGCTTTGGAAAGAAGGTAATGATAAAAAAATAATAATAATATGTGTAATCACTTCTGGAAGTAATACTGCATTTTTTTCTTTTATTTATTGATCAAAAATAATCCAATAAATAAAAATTTTAATATTGATTTGCACTGTTGATTTTAGCCCCTGAGAGTGAACTACTTTAATGTTAACAGTGAACTTTCTAGGGAAACAACCATTCTCCTGAGAAGAGAGATTCTTATAGCTGCTTCCCATGTTTTATATAGGACCTTTCAAGAAGTACCTCACAGTTAGATGCAAGAAACACTAAAGTCCTCACTTTCATCACCTATATTGGGTGTGGAATATCTGCAATTTTTTCAGCAGTAACTCTCCTGACATATGTTGCTTTTGAGTAAGTATTTTTTAATCTGCCAAATCCATTACTAACTGTTCCAAATGTGAATAAGAAAATTGCCTCAGCTTTGAAAAACATTTAAACACTTTGTGAATCATGTAGGGTGGTTCAATGTTAATGTTCATGTTTCTCATAAAATATATTATGGAACATGATTTTCCAGCTATAGAATTTTAATGTATAATTACCGTATTTCTGTTTATAGAATGCATTCAAATATGTTGAAATGATTAACGCTTAAGTAAAAATTATATAAGGTGCTTTCTGTATTGTAAAACATGAAAACATTTGTTTTATAATCTTATAAAATTAGTCCGGAAACAGAATTTCTTAAGGTTTTAACTCATTAAGAATCAAGAAAGTTCAAATAATTTAAGGAAATTATTTTTTAATAAAAATGCCATTCTTATAACTCTAGAATTTTTCCAAGATTAAAAAAAATTCTGTTGAAACCTAACTGGGAATTGTATAAGCAATTGGAAGTAATTTTGAAGTAAAATTAATATTTTAAAAGTCCTTATAACTTGCTAAATACTCATAAATGTCCTTAGCCCCCTGCTCCCCAACCCCCGCCTTTAGCAGAACCACATCAGAAAGCTGGTGCTAACTGTCTTATTGCAGGGTTGTATGAGATATGAATTTATACAGCCCTGTGCTTAAAATATGGATATACAGTATTAGTTCTCCCATAGATTTCTTTTTTCATTTTTTAGGAAATTGAGAAGAGATTATCCCTCCAAAATCTTGATGAACCTGAGCACAGCCCTGCTGTTCCTGAATCTCCTCTTCCTCCTAGATGGCTGGATCACCTCCTTCAATGTGGATGGACTGTGCATTGCTATTGCAGCCCTGCTGCATTTCTTTCTTCTGGCAACATTTACCTGGATGGGACTGGAAGCAATTCACATGTACATTGCTCTAGTTAAAGTATTTAACACTTACATTCGCCGATACATTCTAAAATTCTGCATCATTGGCTGGGGTAAGCCTCCTAAAATTTTTTTGGTTTTGTTTTTCCATCATGAAAATTACCAGATTCTCATAAGAAAAATTCTTATTTTTAAAAAAGACAGTGCCGTTAAGAGTAACCTCAAAGTTGTGAATGACGTGAATTAGATATACATAGCTTAAGGAAGGGACATCTTCACAACTATATTTTTTGAAACTCTTCAACAGCACTCACTACATACACGAGTAAAGGAAAAGCCCTCACTCCTGAGTCACCACAAACTTATTTCCTGAGCCCAGAGAGCCCAGAGCCAGCCCACCCAAGTCTGAAGAGACAGCTGGCAGGCAATGGTGCTTTTCCATGATGCTTTAAAATACAAAGGCCAGCTCAGACGGCTAGTTACACTCATCTGCAGACATAGGCCTATGTCTTAGAAACCAGAGAAAGAATGTTATTTTTGTGTGTGCAACCAGAATACTTATGGAATTCCTGCCTTGAACTTTTTATAACATGAGTCCTCAGTCAGACATGGGTAGTTGTATTAGCCTGTTTGAGATTTGCTGTTGCGCCCCTGTGTTTTTGCAGGTTTCATATTGAGCCAAGCATTTTTGAGCTTTCTCACAGATCTGTTTCAGATGGAAATATAAAAGTGAGAGACATTTTCAGGACTTTCAGCACCACCTTAGGAGGCAATAAGTGCACTCTTCAGGGACCTAGGTTACCTACCATAACATTTCCCCACTGAGATATTCTTGGAAATACTTTATTCAGTCTCTGGAGAGTGAAGCCAGTGAAGGCAACAAAGGCTTTATAGCCCCCTTGCTTTTCCTCCAAATTTTCTAGAGTTTTCTTTATGTAGAAGGAGGCAAAATAGGCTGTAATGACTTGTCTGCCTAAACTCTGGCAGTGTAATAAGGCTTAATTATTGAAAACACATTCACTAGTGCTAGATTTGATACAAATCAGGTTCTAGTTTTGTAGTGAGTCCCACTATGCAAACAGAATTTTATTTAAATATCTGTCCTTTAAGAGTAGGTTTGAATTGTTGCCAGTTAGAGCTGGACATTGAACCCCAAGGAGGGGATTTTGTTGTTGTTAACCAAGTTACCATTTCTAAGAAGTTTGAATCTAGGATATGAAAAGTTGGCTTGCTTGCATTTCTCTTCTTTTCATCTCTTTTCTTTACTTGTCATTATCAGTCTTATGAAGCAGTTTCAGATGCTTCAAAAGAGTTTGTGTCATGGTGTTTTATAACAGGTTTGCCTGCCTTAGTGGTGTCAGTTATTCTAGTGAGCAGAAACAAAAATGAAGTCTATGGAAAAGAAAGTTACGGAAAAGAAAAAAGTGATGAATTGTAAGTAATAAAAAATTTTTGTGATGGGTAGATATCCTTTGTTTCCTAACGTTTAGCATTAGCTAATTTCCATGCCAGTAACAAGGCTTTCGTTTTAAAACATTGGTGTTTATTCACATGACAGCCAAAGTCTCTGCTACACCACAGATTAATTCAGTTGAATGCCCTGAAATGTTTGAGACTCTTTTTCCTGTTAACATTGTACTCTGTTATATGGAGGAATTGAGAAAATACCTACGACACTATTTTTTAGCCTCAGAAGACCCATTCTATTTCAGGAGATTTCATAACACTCTCACCTCCTCAAACCTACCCACATCTTCAAGAGAGTTAAATAGCAGTATCAGACAGTGAACAATTCAATGCCAATGGGAGTGTTATGTAGAAATTTAGAGAATGGAGAAATCAGCAAGTTCTTAAACAATTTTGAAAGTTCTCTTCAGACTATGAGATCGTTGAGATTAAGGTTTTTTATATTGTTCAGTTGGACAGTTAGTGCTCTCATGCGATCCACCCACCTTGGCCTCCCAAAGTGCTGGGTGTTTTTAAAATTCCCATTCTTATTGTATAGGCACCCAAGAGAAAAGGAGGTTAGACATGGCTTGGAGTGAGTCAACCAAGCGTGTTTTCATATCAACTCAGAATTCAGGAAGCCACCTTGTCGTCTTTGTAATGTTGGCTCACCTAGTTATTAAGATGATGGCCATCCAAAAACAAAGGAACACAAAACCTGTAAAGAGATTTAAGAAGAAACCGGGGTCCAAGGAAGTAAAATGACTTTCTAAAGGCATTTGAGAGCAAAATCTGCAGTAGTCCAAACTAAGCAGAGAAAAGTCTTAGGTAAATAGGACATGGCAATAAATATCTTTTTTTCTCTCTCATTTCTTCTTTTTAAGCTGTTGGATTCAGGATCCAGTCATATTTTATGTGACCTGTGCTGGGTATTTTGGAATCATGTTTTTTCTGAACATTGCCATGTTCATCGTAGTAATGGTGCAGATCTGTGGGAGGAATGGCAAGAGAAGCAACCAGACCCTGAGAGACGAAGTGTTAAGAAACCTGCGCAGCGTGGTTAGCTTGACGTTTCTGTTGGGAATGACATGGGGTTTTGCGTTCTTTGCCTGGGGACCCTTAAATATCCCTTTCCTCTACCTCTTCGCCATCTTCAATTCATTACAAGGTAAGATAAATTGTACGTGAACAGTCTCTAATTTCCAATTTTGTCGTATTTGTAAGCAGCATCACTTTTGGACAGATGCCATGTTAAGTTTATATGTCACTATTCCAAATGCTGAACATAGTTCCAGGTGCAGTGTGGTCACTTGTTAAAAAGGGCTTGAATAGATAAATGTAGAATGTCAGTTTTGGCTTTTTATCAGTGATATATCCCAAGCACTTTAGAACACTGTACCTGGCAGTTAGTAGGTACTCCCTAAATGCATATTATTGCATGAATATGAATATGGAGCAAGGGAGGTATCTAACTGAGAACTGAACAGGGAGTTTAAAGGGATGCACAGGCACCTTATCTTCTCACAGTTCTGCTGAATGTTGGCGTTATTCATAGATCCTTGTCCCCTGTAGATTTACCATTGATGGCTAGAAGAACTTTTAGAGTCTATGTAAGAACAAGCAGTTTACCTTGATTCTTTGGCTCCTTTGATTTCAGAATAAATACCAACACTCTAGCTTAGAAACTTACCTTTTTATGAGATAAGTTGAACTTTTCAGTTAGCTCAACAGTTCAACAAACATTTGTCAATGGCCTGCTTTGTATAAAAATACCAGGCTTCCTTCAAAGAGCTTGCAGTCATACTTCTTATTCTATAATATATACCTTAGTGTACTCTGTAATGAATTTAACTTTTAAACTCAAGTGAATATAAATTGTCTTTTTAGATAATTATATGACATTCTTTAAGGTTTTGAATATACTCTGTGGTGTTGATGAAACTCCTTAACGTGCAGAAGCACCATGGGGCCAACACTCCAATAGAAATTAGAATGCCTGGAATGTTTTTGAGTAGAGCAGTGCAAATGGCTTGACTGAAGTTATTGGTCTTGCAGTTGTAGATTTCTGGGGAGGAAATTGCTGAATATATCTGAGCTGGGGTGGAAAGCAGTTTTGTATTACTCACCAGTGACGTACCAAGGTGGACACTCTCTGCAGGTGTATTTTAAGAAAGTCTGTACTTATCTGCAGGGGAGAGTTGTTTACTGCTTATCCTCCATGCTCTTCCACGGTCTTGTGAAGTGCAAAAAAAATGTTACTTCATAGGTGCTTAGTGATTGGTAAATTAATGGATTGTTAGATGGAGAAAGAGGCTTTGAGGATGGCCTAATCCGATCTGAGATGCCTCTGGCATAAATATGTATTAAACAGTTCAGCAAATTTCATTCAGGTTCATTGTCTCATAACAAAGGAAATATGCAGGCTCATTATCTTTAGTCAATAAAATAATAAGCCTCAAGTACATCTCCAAAAATTGGAAAATGAGTATGTAGCATATAAATATCTCTTTATTTGGATCTAGCTCTATAAAGTGAGTATCCCTCTATTTAGTCTCTTCTATATTATACAACATAACAGTGCCTAAATAAATATTGACAAAAGTATCCATTAACGTTAGAAATTCCATGGTTTTATATTTCAGGATTGTACATAAAAGGCACATTGATCTCCCGGCCCAACCTTGGTTTTGCTTTTAGAATTTCCTGGCAGTTTCAGTAACCTTGAACAGCTACAGTTGTCTGTTCAGCTCTGTTTCCATTAATGAGAATTGGGATGTTTTATTTTTCCCAGCATGGGTCCCCTGTCAGGAGGGAAAAATGTTGTAAACCATCATCAACTCAGTGTTCTTCATAAATCACTGACTTTTAAGACTGATTTTAAATAATGTAAATTCAGAACAGATTTCAGCACATTTAATTATATTAAACACCTCCCAAAAAGAAAATTTAAATTAAAAGGCATTGATACAGAGCACATGAATCTCTACCAACAATTGCTTATTGCCCAGGCTTGTGCCAAAACCTCTTAGGATGCTATGGAAATTCACTTAATGGTTTTTATCGGTGACTCAATTTGGAATCTTCCAAGAGAGGCTTTGTTGTCAGAAGTATATGCTTTATTAAAAGAAGCATGTAGAATTTAGACAACTTAAAGAAATGATTCAGTGAATGCAAAAGGAGCTCAGATAGTATGGAGGCAAACTACATTATATCTAATTTTTTCTCTTTGGTATGTGTCATTCCATCAAAAATATTGGCGTGGTCCCTCTGCCTCACGGAACTTATATTCTAGTAGGGGATGTAGGCTAATTAAACATATTGCTATATAAAAATTACCTTGTGATATTGAGAACATGTTACTAAAAGCATGATTTCTAAGCTGAAATCCAAAGGATCAATAGGAATTGACTAGATGAAAGATGAGAGTAAGAGTAGGAAGAAGAATATTTGAGATAGTGGGCATTTCAGGTGCCAAAAAGTTGCTATAGTTGGTGATTACAGTGTATGTTCAAGGTATTAAAAGAAAACTGATATATGCTGACAACAATGAAAGGGATAGTGACAAAGGCAGGATAATGACAAAGCAGAGAGACACGTCAAAGAGGCAAGGATTAGACCAGAAGGCTCTATATTTGATCTTTATAAACACAATAGGAAGTCTTTGAAAGGTGGAGTGACATGTGGAGTGACATGATTGGATGTGCACTTTGTAAAGTTGGACATAAGGTACTGAATGGATTAGAGTTGCCCAGTAGTGTCTGTAGGAAGAGCAGGTAGGAGACTCTCACGTGGTTGGGGAAAAGGTGGTCTAGTATTCTGGACTGTGGTGGGGATGGAAGAGCTAGAGAAATATGCACAGAGCCAAGAGAAATTTAGGAAGCCTACTGCTACAAAATACTCATCATTGATTTGCTCATTAAAGTAAACTCGTATTTTTCTAGAATGATTAGAGTAAGGAGTCTTGTTGTTAATATAATATTATAGTTAATAGATGCCTATCATTGTAACATTTAATAATGGCTAAAGCTTTAGAATGCAAAGCATCATTCTCAAAGCTAAAACTGTGTTAAACACATTTTAGTCCCTCTTAGATCTAGCTTGCAGGGGAGCATCTTAAAATCAGCAGTGTCACTGTGTACTGTTACGGAGGTGGGATGTGTTGGAGCAAGTGTTTGAGCTAAGTCTACTGTGGTGTCAGGGCATGTCTTAGTTCATTTTCACTCTGCTGATGAACACATACCTGAGAGTGGGCAATTTACAAAAGAAAGAGGTTTAACTGGATTCACAGTTCCACATGGCTGGGAAAATCTCACAATCATGGTGGGAAGCAAGGAGGAACAAATCACATCTTACATAGATGGCAGTAGGCAAAGAGAGTGTGCAGAAAAGCTCCAATTTTAAAGTCATCAGATCTTGTGAAATTCATTCACTATCACAAGAACAGCCCAGGAAAGACCTGCCCTATAATTCAATCACCTCCCACCAGATTCCTCCCATGATGCATCTGAATTGTGGGAGTTACAATTCAAGATGAGATTTGGGTGGGGACACAGCCAAACCATATTATTCCACCCTGGCCCTTCCCATATCTCATGTCCTCACATTTGAAAACCAATCATGCCTTCCCAACAGTCCCCCAAAGCCTTAACTCATTTCACCATTAATTCGAAAGTCCACAGTCCATCATCTCATCTGAGATAAGGCAAATCCCTTCCATCTGTGAGCCTATAAAATCAAAAGCAAGTTAGTTACTCCCTAGATACAATGGGGGATATAGGCATTGAGTAAATACTGCCGTTCTAATTGGATAAATTGGACAAAACAAAGGGGCTACAGACCCCATCCAAGACTAAAATACAGCAGGGCAGTCAAATCTTAAAGTTCCAAAATGATCTCCTTTTACTCCATGTCCTGTGTCTGGGTCACACTGATGCAATAGGTGGATTCCCTGGTCTTGGGCAGCTTCATCCTTGAGGCTTTGCAGGGTATAGCCTCCCTCACATCTGCTTTCATTGGTTGTCATCGAGTGTCTGTGGCTTTTCCAGGCACACAGTGCAAGCTGTTGGTGGATCTACCATTCGGGGATCTGGAAGATGGTGGCCCTCTTCTCATAGCTCCACTAGACAGTGCCCCATATGGATTCTGTGGGACTCTGACCCCACATTTCTCTTCTGCACTGCCCTAGCAGACATTTTCCATGAGTGACCCACCTCTGCAGCAAACTTTTGTCTGGATATCCAGGCATTTCCATACATCTTCTGAAATCTAGGCAGAGGTTCCCAAACCTCAGTTATTGACTTCTGCACACCTACAGGCTCAACACCACATGGAAGTTGCCAAGGCTTGGAGCTTCCACCCTCTGAAGCAATAGTCCAAGCTATACCTTGTACCCTTTTAGTTGTGGCTGGAGCAGCTGGGACACAGGGCACCAAGTCCCTAGATTGTACACAGCATGGGGACCCTGAGCCTGGCCCCCAAAACCGCTTTTTCCTCCTAGGCCTCCAGCCCTGTAATGGGAGGGACTGCCTGGAGACATTTTCACCATTGTCTTGGTATTTAACATTTGTCTCCTCATTACTTGTGCAAATTTCTGCAGCCAGCTTGAATTTCTCCTCAGAAAATGGGATTACCTTTTCTATAACATTGCCAGTCTGCAAATTTTCCAAACTTTTATGCTGTTTCCCTTTTAGAACTGAATGCCTTTAACAGCACACAAGTCACCTCTTGAATGTTTTGCTGCCTAGAAATTTCTTCTGCCTGATACCCTAAGTCATCTCTCTCAAGTTCAAAGTTCCACAGATCTCTAGGGCAGGGGCAAAATGCTATCAGCCTCTTTGCTAAAACATAACAAGAGTCACCGTTGTTCCAGTTCTCAGCAAGTTTCGCATCTCCATCTGAGACCACCTAAACCTGGACCTTATTGTCAATATCACTGTAACATTTTTGTCAAAGCCATTCAGTAAGTCTCTAGGAAGCTCCAAACTTTCCCACATTTTCCTGTCTTCATCCGAGCCCTCCAAACTGTTCCAACCCCTGCCTGTTATCCAGTTCCAAAGTTGCTTCCACATTTTTGGGCAGCACCACATTTCTGGTACCAATTTACTCTGTTAGTCTGTTTTCACACTGTTGATAAACACATACCTGAGACTGGGCAATTTACAAAAGAAA